CCGCGCGGGGCGCGAGCAGGAGCGGGGCCGGCGCCGGGAGCCTTTACCGGGGTCACTGGCGTGTCCGGCGGCGGCGGCGGCCGCCCGCGCTGCGCTGCGCTTTGCAAAATGAAGCTGTGGCTGGGTCCGCGGCCGCCATGTTCCCGTTTTAATAACTGGCTGCTTGTTTATTTCAATGGAGACCCTCCCACCTCTCGCCCTCCGCCTCCGCCGCCTCCTCCGCCCGAGCGCAGGGGAGGGGAGAGGCGCAGTCACTCCCTCCCTTCCTCCTTCCTTGGCCCCGGCCCGGCCCGGCCCTTCGGCTCCGCTCGGGGCCGGCAGCGACTCGGAAACTTCCCCCATCCCCGCGGCTCCCGCCGTTCGCAGCGCGAAGGGGACAAAGGCAGCCGCCGCTTCCCCCCTTGCCCGGGAGAAAATGGCTCGGCGGCACCTACCCGCCCCGGGCAGCCCTCGCCCTTCTCAGCGGGCCGTGCTCTCAAGGTTACCCTTTACGCCCCGTCGTCGCCGGCGCCCCAAGCCGCTCCCGCGCGGCTGCAGCGCCCGGGCTCACCCCCAGGGGCAGAAGGGGAAGGGGAGAGAGCCGCCCCCCCGGGCAGCACCTTCCGCGCTCCGCCAGGCTGAGGCCGCGGGGCTCGCGCTGCGCCTGCTGCAAGCGTCAACTTCCCCGCGCCGCGGACATCTTCTGCTGTCGCCGAAAAAGCCAATGGAGGCTTCGGTGCCGCCGGAGCGGCAGGAGCGGGCAGCCCCAGGCACCATCTCCCCGCTCTTCTTTCTTTGCTTTTTGGACACAAACTATTTTAAACAGCCCCGGAGCCCCGCTCTCTGCGTCTCCCTTTTCGTTTTCTAAGATAAAAAACCCAACGCCGCTAGCCTCTCGTTGAACAACAGTGCCTGCTGCGGGGGCACAGGTGCTCGCCCCTGCCCCTGCCCCTGCCCCTGCCCCTGCCCTGTTTCGGGCTCTCAGGACTTCGCCCAACTCACCGCAGCGGCTGCGTTGCCAGCAGGGGAGGCCCGGGCCTCTGCGCTCGCTCAGAGCGGGGCAGGTGGCTGGCTGCATAAGAGGCACGCAGACAGCAAAGCCTTCCTGGCCCGAAGTTCACTCCATCAGCTGCTGGATTTTTTTCAGGCAGGGGTCAAGCTGCTTAATAGAAAGTTTCACACCCCTCCCCCCCAAAAAAAGAAAAAATTCGGGGGGGGCTCAGCTTTTTCTCAGAACAAAAGAACAACAGCCCTCATACCTGTTTTACTGAGAAGCTCCAACAACTTTTGGGCAAAATGGGGGTTAAATTTGTGCTCCTGTCAGAAATGTACCTTTAGGGTCCTAATGAAAATCTGCCCAAATTTGGGTAGGTTGCTAGCCTCTGAGCATCTTAATTGCACATGCTCAATAGAGATTAATTAGAGTTCGGCTGCTAAAGTCTCCAAGGAGTCCACCTACAGGAAGCAGGCTCTGCACCCTGGCTCCTGCCTGCCACCAAACTGCAGGCCCGACTGAGTGTGCAGGGGCACAGGAACTGAGCAGTGCAGTCTTGCAGTTCCCCTCCCATCAGCCTAGATTAGTCACCCAAAGGTGAGGGCAAAGGGAGAGTTTTCTCTGCGCAAGGCTCCTCCTACCTCCTGCAGGCACCAAGGCAGCACAGAATGAGGACACAGCCTATTTGAAATTCAGAGGGATAGGCAGAGTGCAGGAGAGGAAAATGAAAATGAGACGGGGGGGGGGG